AAAACATTTATATTAGATCTTTGATATAGTACAACATATCGATGAAAATGTTTTCCAGTATTTATCATCTTTGTTGATCACGATATAGGTTATAGATATGAAATTGTATGATTTGAAAAGGACCGTTGGGGATTGATAGCCACAAACAAATTACCTAAATTGCTAGCCTCAAATTTAATATTTTGTCTCTTAAGTTCCATATTCACTTAATATGCACAAAAGAGATAAGCGATATAAATCAAGTACTTCAATAAATTGAAAACTAATTATCACCAAGATCTTATGATTCCATGATAACCGGAAGGGATATATTTAAAATCTCGCACCAAGAGAAAAGTTTGATAACATATTCAACAAAATTGTTGCAATCCTTCCCGCAACAGGTAAAGAAGTTAGACTCTCCCAAGTACCAAATATTCATCTCCAATTTTAATTTTTAAGTGCCTAACCCCCAAGATTCAATTTAAAAAGAAAATACGCATGCTCTTGCAATTAATCTCACCTACAAAGACGAATGAATCTAGGAGCAGGAAAGACAATTTTGACCGAACGACAAAAGGAAGTGCATAACATAAAGACTCTAGTAGATTATGAAGAAGGGAAAGATGTCACTGGGAGGCTCAAACTTGACGGAAGGAGAAGGGAAGGCGAAAGGAATATATTTGTGGGTCAAGAGAAAGGGAATGACAAAACTTAGTAACAATTATGTTTTATTTCCTTCACAATGTGAAACAAAATACGAAAGAAAGAAAACTACCATTTCATGGAAAAACCAAGATTAGCTGAGAATTTTTTAGACTTTTGAAAATGAAACCTGGAAACAAAAACTTTGTTCAGTAATGATTTACTTTATATGAAAGCTTGGTGGTCTGATTACCATATTGTTAAATTTAATTAGTTTTTGCATAATTATACCATATCGACGATCTAGCATAAAAAGCCTATCAGAGCTCAGCCATATAGACAATTTTAGTAGTACAAAACGGTTGAACAACAGTTTCAACACAAAACATCATATCATTGATTTTTTTCGGTACAAACTCTGGTAATATTTTGCAATTTAATCAATTTAAATTAACAATAATTCTCAAATTAGGTGAAAACAAATTTGTGTCGAAGGTTAAGCTTACTTTTTAGTAAAACGATTACATAAATTTAAAAAATGATTAAATATTAAATCCTCAATTTTTTCTGGTATTTAAATATTAATTGTCACTTTTGCATGTGACGTTTAGACAGACAGTTACATAATTTAAAATAAATTGATTATCATAATTAAAGGATCCGTCTCATTGAGTCATTTCTCCATATTCCTTCCCAATCTCTCTACATAACCAATATATATAATAAAATTAATTTAATCTCACCCGTTTATCTCTTCTCCATCACAAACCTTATTATTTTCAAAATACATCAAATTCTCGATTTGGCATAAAAATATCCACAATTGTTAATATCCGCGGAAATCCGATCAACCAAATAGGGTAAAACTCAAACTTGAAAAATATTCAGTTGATATGGATAAAATTAAAATTTGAATATTATGATAATGAGTGGATATGATTTTGTTACTAACCAACCCGAACCCTCTCAACTTTACACATATATATGTATTAACATTATTTTTCTTTACATATTTTATAAAATCAACAGACTCTAGAACATATTAGCTATAAACAAAGGTATAATACCTATCCAGTTTTCTTTAATTATTTTTGCTCATTTATAAGAAAATATATTTTTGCTTGGTGTTATTCTACAATAAGATCTCTAATGTGATATTATCATTAAACATGGCGGGTCAGGCGTATACTATACGTCAGGTACAACTAGTGAGATAACTTTATCTAGACCATGAAGTAAATCTAGTTTGGGGTATAATACTATACCTTAACCTCTAATGGATAAACCCCAGGCACCGATTTTCTAAACTCTCTCTCTCTCTCTCTCTCTCTCTCTCTCTCTCTCTCTCTCTCTCTCTATATATATATATATATATATATATATATATATATAGTGGCTACTTTGGTGCACTTACTTTTTTGGGTGCACTCAGTGCACCCAACTCTAAAAACGTCCATAATACATCAAATTTTGAACTTTAATTAGTACTCTCAATATAATATGATGATATGACATAGAATCATAACAAATCAATCCATTACCCTAACCCCTTAACCTTCAATTTTTAATCCCAACCCAAAATCTCAAATTGTAAACCTAAACCCTAACCCTAAATCCCTAAATCATAAATCCTTCAAATTAAAGTAAATTTTGAATGAATTTTTTTTCAAATTCATGTGCTTCTTGTTCATAATATCATAAGCAACAATTGATACCGTTTTGACATGAATCGCATGGTCAGAATGACAATTATGAGGCGGGTGCACTGAGTGCACCCGAAAAAGTGGGTGCACCGAATACGCCACCATATATATATATATAGGGTACCCAGGGTTTTAGGGTACCCAGGGTGAAATTCGGGGTACCGCATAACTTGAGTAGGAAAACACTATCCAGAACTTGGAATGACTGATCTTTCGGACATGACACTATACTCTAAACCTTAAAGATCAAAATCTAGGTATTAATTCTCTAAATCTTATAACCCAAAATCAATTAATTAGAAACAATAATCGACGGTTATGATTCGTCCAAATATAGGCCAAAAAAATCAATGCACCATCTTAGGGTTTATAGTTTATGATTTAGATAATTAGGACCTAGTGTTCACTCATTAAGGGTTAGGGTATAGTATCATGCCCAAAAATCCTGCTAATTCGAAGTCTATATAGCGTTTTCATACTCAAAATATGCAGTACCCCGAATTTCACCCGGGGTAATGTAGAAGGTACTATATATGGTAATGACTAGTAAGTGATATATCACTAGGAATAAATCAATTAAATGTACGAAATTTATAAAAAAGGACTAAATTTTAATCTACAATGTCGTTAACTCCGCCCAATTGAAGATTTATACTTTGGATGGATTGTACTGGACTGGACAGTTTTGGGCTAGGCAGAATAGAGTATTTTCATTCATCTCTCTTAATTTACATCCAGGTACATGAAGAAAAGGGATCGAAAGTATCCCCAATATTCAAGTGATGATCATGAATGAAATCAAATTTGGTCACTGAGATTACAAAATCGGGACATGTTTAGTCACTAGAAAAAGTTAATATCAAATTTGGTCATTATAATTACTAAAACTGGACGCATTTAGTCACTCGCCGTTAGTCTCAGTCCAACTCCGTTAATGAAGTCCGTTAAGTGCTGATGTAGAAAACAGAATTGCCTAATCAGCTGGATATAACCCAACAAAAATAAAACCTGACCCGCCACGTCATTATAACCCGCCACGTTATTATAACCAACCCAACCCATGACCCAATCCTACCCAACCCTTCTTCCTCCTTCCTCCCACCTCTGCACCTCCCAGGCTCGATTGAGCAACGCCGCCGACGAGCCCGCTGTTGACTTTTTCCTTAATTGGTTATGAGTTAGAGAGAGAGAGGGAGAGACAAGTCTTGGAATTGCGGGAGGAGGTGGGAGGAAGGAGGAGAAAAGGAATTCCCAACATCCCATCCCAGTTCGAAAGAGCAAGATCCATCCCAACATCGTAGTTCCATTGACGGATTCCCACGCTTCCATCCAGTCTCAGCCGAGGAGCAAAGGAATGATGTCGTGGCTGTTTCCGAGGCTGAGGAAGAAGCCCACGAAGAACACAGCTACTACTTCGCCGGTGAGAGCAGAGTCCGAGGAGGCCTCGCAGGCATTCGGGGAACTGGGTTTGCTGTCGATCGAGAATCTGCGGAGGGAGTTGAGGGAATCGAATGAAACTAGGGACGCAACATTGACAGAAGTCGCGGAAACGAGAGCTTCGTTAGGCCCACTGAGGCAAAAGATCGAACACCTGGAGGGCTACTGCGAGGAGCTGAAGAAGGCTCTGAAATCCGCCACGAGATCCAAAGGGCGAGCCAAATCAATCGATGGGTACTCACAAAACAACAACTCGAATCATCATCCATCCATTCTCCCAGTGACCGACGAAGCAATGGTGGAAGGGTTCCTCCAAATGGTGGCCGAATCCAGACTCTCAGTGAAACAATTCTGCAAATCCCTAATCTCCCAAATCGAAGACGACACTGCCGATTCCCCACTGATCGAAATCCTGCTCTCCCTCAATTCCAACCATCCCAAGACGATCCTCCACCACTTGGAATCCATAATCAACGACACGATGCACCAGGAGGCCTCGCAGGAGAGCGGCGGCGGTGGTTTTGGGGAAAGAAGGAGGTGGGAGGTGTCGAGGTGGGAGGAAGGAGGAAGAAGGGTTGGGTGGGGTTGGGTCATGGGTTGAGTTGGGTTGGGTTGGTTATAATAACGTGGCGGGTTATAATGACGTGGCGGGTCAGGTTTTATTTTTGTTGGGTTATATCCAGCTGATTAGGCAATTCTGTTTTCCACGTCAGCACTTAACGGACTTCATTAACGGAGTTGGACTGAGACTAACGGCGAGTGACTAAATGCGTCCAGTTTTAGTAATTGTAGTGACCAAATTTGATATTAACTTTTTCTAGTGACTAAACATGTCCCGATTTTGTAATCTCAGTGACCAAATGTGTCTTTAACCCTTTATACTTTGGATGGATTGTACTGGACTGGACGGTTTTGGGTTAGGCAGAATAGAGTATTTTCATTCATCTCTCTTAATTTACATCCAGGTACATGAAGAAAAGGGATCGAAAGTATCCCTAATATTCAAGTGATGATCATGAATGAAATCAGAGGATGAGAAAGGCTTAAAAAAAAAAAGAAGAGAGAAATCAGTTGAGTGATGAAGATCGCGTGCTTGTGGATGCAAGGAGGGGCGGCCACATGCCTCAAACCACGCCGGTAAAGGAGATAGAAAAAAGAAAAACAGGGAACTTGCATATAGGGTTTAGGAACACAGGCACTAGGGAGCAGGTGGCGGCCTCAATTATTGATAGACAGTTAGTTATAGTTTGAGAAGAGATAGTTGTAAGCTGAGGAGGACCCCAAATGGTAGGCATCGTCGGCAGGCAGTGGCAGGTGGTGACCGTAAGTGATATTCATGTTGTTGGAATCGGGGAGCGGAGGCATCGTGCTGAATAGCGGGCTGTGCATTACGCAATCCTCCTCGTAGCCGAAACTATTGTACCCACCACCACCAATGTTGTTAATATTGTTGTTGTTGCCCTCGCCATTGATGGCCGTAAAATCAACCATAGTATCCATCATCACGTCGTCAAAACTTGCTGCATTAATGGACAAGTTCTCCACCTCACATCTCGGCAAAGGAGGCAGCCCGCCATGGCCGTCGTCAATGCTAGCTTCAGAATTAATATTGGTAATATTACTATTTTGGTAGTAGCATTCGCTCCCCTGCTGCATGTTGAACATCATCTGTTGCTGCTGGCCGCAAGGTTCAAGACATGAGGATACAATCCTGCTGTCGTCGTTGTTGTTAATGAAGGTGGATGATGAGAAGTCAGGGGAGAGGATGGACGTGACGGAGCAGCCGGCGGGGGTGTCGGAGTAGACAAAGTTGGTGCGAGCGCGTGGGCCGCGCATGGAACGTGCGGCTCTGTCATAGGCCAAAGCGGCTTCCTCGGCGGTATCGAACGTGCCCAGCCAGTGCCTCTCTTTGGTGGTGGGGTCTCTTATCTCCGCCGCATATCTGCCCCACGGCCGCCTCCTCACTCCCAAAAACCTCACAGCAGCCGGTGCACCTGTTTCCAGCTGACCCTGCTGCTCCTGCTGCTTCTTGTTCTTTCTGCTAGTCCCGCTGCTGCTGGCACTGCTAGTATTCTTCATCTTGTTCATATTCTGGCGAGAGAGAGAGAGAGAGAGAGATCAGAGAGAGTGAATGAGGAAGTGGAGGTGGAGGGATAGTTCAGATGGAATATTGAATATTAATTGTTGTTTTAGTTAGGAAGGAAGGAAGGAACTAATAACAAGTGCATGTGGGTGGTGAGTGAATCAGTGGTTCATTTGGTATGTATTTATAAGGACAAAAAATGTTGATGATAAACAAAGGGAAAGGCAAATTAATTGAATTTTCGGTCAGTATTAATATGAAGGAGAACATGCAGGAATGAATGATAGATGGGGAGGGAGAATATAAAATAAATTAAACGAGAAGCAAATTTGTTAGTCATCAATTCATGCCTTCTTAATTATTTTTGTTGACTAGCTGCTAGTAGTATATGTGTATGCCCAAACTAGACCTTGATTATTCCCAAGATTCACTTCCACTCCCACCACACCATACACTTCAATAATTAGACCTTCATATGTAATTGTTATCATGTCTTAATAAAATAGGGCAATCTCTCTCTCCCAATATATTTATAAATCCACTTTAGTCAATAATCATATGTATCCCACAGCCATATCAACCGACTTATGTGTTTTATATTACTTGTATGATTATGTATAATTCTCAAAAATTTAAAGCTTATGTTTTATACTGATGATTCTATATATGTTGCGGGGTTACCGTCATTCTAGAGTTATGTGGTCAACACCAAATAAATATTTATTCAATAAGTTCATCTCCCAGTCACAAAATATTTTAGGAATGATTGATACTAAATTAATTAACAAGCGCATCACAAATAGCAACCATTCCAAATAGATGAGAATAATAAAAATATTATGGTCCAACTTTAAAAAAAATCTAACTAAAGACTAGGTGATGCTTCACAAAGGGGTGATAGCCTATGTTTGGCCCGGCTTTTAGAAATACTTTTCAGATTCAAACGTTGAAGCAGGGCCAAATACTAGGGCTGATAATCGGTTGACGGTTAATCGGTTTAACCGAAAACCGAACCAAAAACCGCGGTTATCAACCTAACCGAAAACCGAGATATTTGCCTCGGTGTCGGCGTCGGTGCGCTAATTCTAGGCTTTAGGCTAACTGTCGGTTGTCGGTTTCTAACCGAGATCAAACTCGGTGCATCGCTGCAACCGACAAACCTCTCAACTCCCTCTCTCACCCCTAGGGATGGCAAAAATATCCGCAACCGTGGATATCCGCCCGAATCCGACATAATCGGGTAGGGTAAAACCCGAACCCGAAGGACTTTTAGCGGGTACGGGTAAAACCCGAACCCGAATATTGCGGGTAATGGGTGGGCATGGTTTTCTCACTATCCAACCCGAACCTGCCCAATTATACACATGCATATGTATTTTGTCTAGAAATAATCAATATTTTTGTCTAACATATTTTATGTTTACCATGTAAATATAATATTTTTTGGAATTGTGTTGTTTAATTAATTTTGTTCATTCTAGTGAATAATTGTCGTACTTTTCGTCTTACGTAACGTGAGAATAAGTGTGAATATTAATATATTGGTTGAAGTTATAAAGAGAAACCATTACCCATGGATAACCGTGGATACCCGAAACCCGAATGGGTATGGGCACGGTTTGGATTTTCTACCCGTTTCTTATGTGGGTATGGATATGGGTAAAACCCGAACTACTTTGGGTAGGGTAACGGATATGCACTATCCGTCCCCGACCCGACCCATTGCCATCCCTACTCACCCCCGCATCGGCCCTCTCTCCCTCTCCATCTTCAGCCTCTCACCAGGCCACCACCACCGCCCTCCACATCCCCAATTTCCCCACCCGACTTCGCCGACCCTTCTCTCCGAAACTGGCCGAATGTGGAAGCCTCTCTCATCGTCGCATCCCCCACCTACCCCCTCATCCTCGACGTCCCTCGTCGGCGTCGATTGCCAACCCTCGTTGGCGTCGATTGCCATCCATCATCGCCGCCGCCGCCGATTGTTGACCTTCGTCGTCGTCGCCGCAGAGTGAGAAATCCGGCCAGATCCAACACCTATTCCTTGCAAGTTTATGTTGATTTTTCGTGTTGATTTTGTGAGGGGAAAAGGTAGCAGAGAGGTAGAGATGAAGATTTGGTGAGGGGAGAGGGAGAGGGAGGGTAGCAGAGAGGGATAGAGTAGAGAGAGACTTGTTCTTTGGAGATAGGGACGGTGGGAAGGATCCAGAATTGTGTGGGTAATTTTTTTTTAATTCCCTTTTATTTCGGTCAAAGTCTAACCGACCAAACCAAATCGAGGCTTTCGGTTGGCGATTTCGGCTAACCGATTACTCAATCGGTTGCGGTTTCCTATTTCAGCTCTTTATTTGTGACGGTTAACCGACTGGTCGGTTCGGTTTAACCGAAACCGAACCGACTAACAGCCATACCAAATACCTCTAAAAGCTCTGCTTTTGAAAAGCCGAAAAGCGCTTTTGTATAACATAAAAGCAGAAGCTCTGAATCGGAGCTTCTGCGAAAAGCTGTTTTAAAAATACAAGATTATCCTTACCATATTTTAATTTTATTTCAGAAAATATAATTTCTTTCATTTATATCATTTATAAATAAAATAAATTATAAAATCATATTATTTAATATTACAGAATCCTAACAAGATCCATTTTGACTACATTTTATTGTTTTAAATTATTATTCATAGTTTATATTATAAATCCTTTATAGTCATTTTATACAATCTCTCATATTAAAAAACACTTTTAATAGTTTTTCAGTCAAACACTCAACTGTTTTTTTTTTTAAGTACTTCTCTAAAAGCTAAAGCCAGAAGCTACTTCTGCAAAAGCTACAACAAGGCCAAACTGAGATATAGTCATTCACATGAAAACTTGAATACATATAATATATATAACGGTCGAGTTAATGGAAAAATATATACAACACAAAAGATTGGTTGAAAGTGGTTATGATGCCTATATATTGTTTGAGGATAAAAGGTACTACACATGCATATGATCATATATGACTCCCCTTTTGATTCCACAATTACAAATTATAAGTAATTTTCCAAAAAACATTAATTATATGTATATATAGGATGGGGAGATCACTTCATATGATTAGTAGATATGATTAGCATGAGCATGTTCTATTAGATACCTTTTAATCATTAGTAATATTCTCACAATCATGCATACGATTGAAGTTTCATCCCCTCTTCTTCTCTCTCTCTGGCATGAATCCAGTCCACAAATATATTATATCCATAATATGAATGGTAATTTGTGAAGGTTCCTTATATCTCCATTGGTCCAATCTCATGCAGTCCAAAGCAGCTTACGGTAAACATGTGATGCCATGACTGATTGATTTTGATGGCATACATTGTATATACACCTTTAAAATTGTAGAGGAAGAGAAATAAACGATATATTACTATATCATACAAAAGGAGAACGCGTCATGAAAACTAATAATTAATAGTAATTAAGAGCTTCACTTATTGATGATGATTAATTAAGTTGGTCTTGGTCCAAATACAAATGGCAGTTGAATTTTTCATATATAATGAAATCTTGAGAGAAAGAAATCATATATATGTAGCATGCAATAGCATTCACCGCACTTCTTATTGCGCTGCTTCCTTTTCATTATCCCTAATTAAACCTTATGCCAGGCCGGTGGAGGGCCAGGGCCAGGAAGACTCAATCACTGCCCCCATCATCTTAATATGATTAAATTTAAATCAAGTGGTGATGATGAGTACTAAAGAAAGGCAATCCCTGTCCCAGCTGCTAAAAAAGAAGGGATTGATTTGAATAAATACGATATCAGATCTATCGGTACAGATATATACCACTAGTTATCTTCATTATTGTGACCAGCCAGCTTCATGCATTGGGCAGTCCGATAGTGGTGTAGTTGCTCCCAGCACGCATGAGGCCACTCAATTACGTATATCGATTTTTGGCAACTTAATTTTCTTTTCGGTTTATTTATGTACAATCCATAATTCCTCCTTAATTCCTAGCAACCTATCGTGAGGAAGAGGTCATCGTCTGCTTTTCCTCTGCCAAATGAAATAGAAATACGCTGTGCTTCTGTGTACTCCTGGATCTCCTAAATATAGTATAGTAGAATTTGGAAAAACGATTAAGCAACTTCCGATAATAGTTTGCATGTGGGTAAAAATAATATTTAAGTGGTAGTTTATGTGATATGTTGTTGTGTTTTAAATTCATATATAATAGTAAAATGACATTCTTTATCTCCAATTCTTTTCAGAACCTAATGACTTAACTCAATTACGAGATATCTTTGTACAATAGTATATAACAAGAGAGGTTTGTTGAACAGTGCAGACACCGAATGTATTTTACCATTTTTTTAGTATATGAAATATGCAATGAGCTTTTGTTGTAACTTGTACTAGTTGAATATTTTTAATTTTTAATTTTTAATTTAATTTAAACTCCTATGTAAAATTTATGGAAACACCACTAGTTATACATAATTGACCCTAGAGAATCTATTATGTAACATTATCTTACTTAGCCGGAGTTGCTTTCCTTATGATTCTTTTATGAAGCTTCACTATATATGGATACGATTTGGACTCCAGAAGCTGCGTTTGTTTGGAAGGCTTTTGTAACATCTCATTTCGGCTAAACCTATATTTCGATTGTTAGAAAGTTCGCGATTTAAAATCGAGCGTTTTGATAGTATTTCGACAAAAATTGAATTATCGATCGATCTGATAAGTATACATATTAATTATATATATTATATAATATATATATATATATATATATAATGCCGGCCGCATATATATATATATGTAAACCCTTCCCCCGTCCCTTTTATTTCCATCATCATCTTCATTTTTCCATTTACGGACCGAGAGCAGAGGACGCTCAGGGGAAGCGAGGGGGAAAAATCTCAGGCTCGATTCTTGAGTATAAGTGATCCAAAAATCCCGTAAGTAATGCCTAATTCATCTATACATCGTGATTTA